AGGCTAAGGCAATCTTCCAAGTCTTGAAGAAATAAAGTTTCATGGCTCCTGAGAACTGGGGGTGAGAGACATTTAGTTTGTTGTTTCCTCAGACTTTAGAAACTAGAAGTGCTTTGTTGTCTATGTACTGGTATGTGCTGTATCTGAGGAAAGCCCCTGTCCCCACTCATAGCATCTGAAGGCTTTGAGAACCCTCAAATTTCCACCAAGTCAGCAAGCTCAGCCCCGTATTGCTTGAGTCCCTGCTCCGGCCTCCCCTCTCCAAGGGCTGTCCTTCCTGGGCTTGCCTGCAATGGTGGCTCCCCTCAGTCAAACTCTGGCTGGTGCAAAAAACGTCCTCATGGGGTGCTGAGCTTGAACCCTATGTAACTTTCACCTATGACCCTGGCCTTACCATTCTGTGCTCTCTGATATGAGTTCAATTCCTGTCTCCCCCCAGCATCTTCTTCTCAGTAGGCCACCCGACCCTGGCTTCTTCAGCTCTCCTGGCCTTCAGACAGCCCGGTGTGCTGCGGCCCACTCCAGAACACCTGTGGCCATGGAGGGTGGGGTTCCCAACAGTGAAGGCAAATGTTACCAGTGCTCTGAGCAGCTGGGAGTAAGACATAGCCATCACCATCCCTACTCTATATGTTGTAAACTTAAAATTTAAGCCAAGGTCAAAGCACCATTTACTTTTTGTTCCTTGATGGGGGAGAGGGGTGGCAGTCACATCACATGGTTACATTACACTGTTGACTCACTTTGAGCTGATTATTGCATAAAATACCTCAGTTATTTTCACAGCATGGCTCTCAGTCCCATGCTTGCTTTTTTTTTAATTTTGAACCACAGTAGAGCCTTGCATCTTTCCCTACATCATTTCATCTCGTTAGTGCACGGTTAGAACTCGCAGAAGCATTTTAGATTCAGATTCTGTTTTCTCATGTATTCCTCTGCTGAGTTAATAAACCCACCTTTGTCTTCACCTAAATCAATGATACAAACACTTCTCTCGGGAACGGAACTCAGATCAGTTTCCATTCCACTTTGGAGGTAAAAGCGTGGCCAGAGGGAGGGGGTAGGGGGTCCAGAGAAGGCTTGGATGCTTGCAGGGTTTTCTGACCAGAAGACTTTTATCTATTTCATTCCAAATGAACACTGATATTTATAAAGCATGGAGATACCTGCTTGTATATCTGCTTATGAAAGAAAGCCTCACTTCTTAGAAGGGTGTTGGCAGCAGTGGGTGGAGAGTGAGTGGGACCATGAGTAGAGCGCCGTCCACCTCCCTCTCCCGGCACTGAAGGCAGGGGGCAGGGCACGAGGTCACTGGCCAGGAGGCTTGTCTTACACTTCCAGCACTCAGAGTTTTAGAATTTCTCATTTAGGAGGGCTCCAGAGTTCCAGAAAGAACTTCAAAGAAGAATTTTGGGTTTTAAAATCCATCGTCTAATTTTTCTTTTCTTTCTTATTTTATTTATTTTTGAGAAAGTAGCATTTATTTTTTCAAGTGGGAATTTAGGAATCTTAGATTAATAGTGATTTGATCTATGTCTGAAGCTTGGATATTAGGGTCTTCATTGGTAAAATGAGACAATAAGAATACCTGTTGTGTAAAAGCTGTGAAGACCTCATGGGAAAACCCTTAGATGGCACTCTGGGTAGACTCTGGCTCACTTTAAAGGCTCCATGAATGTGAACCATCATTATCATGGTGGCAGCAGAACAACAGCCCTTTCTGTCCTTCTGCCCTCCCCCATCCATCTTGGGTCAAAAATTATAAAGAATGTTCTAGTAACAAGAGCTAATCAACAAGGTAATTAGAAGGTGGTGACCTTCCATTCTTCAGTGGTATTGGAGCAGAAACTTGTCATACTGGGCATGTGCTTAGTGGGTGTGTCTCTGTGAGACAGTTGCAGGGCTATATGACCTCTTCCAGCCAAAGCAGAAAGTGCAGCCACTCAGCAGTATTTTTTGAGACTGCAGCATGGTAGTGCTGGGGGCCCCTGACCTCATTCTGGCTAAGGTCCCCTCATTTCTCTCATTAGTGTTCCCAGGTCCTTGCTGCAGTGACAAAGACTAGTTTGCTCCATTATTTGTTGAAAAAAAAATGTTTCCATTGGGAAACATAATATTTGTGGGACCCTTGTCTTCTGTCCTTATTCTTTTTTCTGATTTCAAAAGCTGAAGGATTCAAAGTATTGGTGTTGGGTCAGGACAGTTGATCTAAGACCTCTGTTGAGATTAGAAAAAGGTGATTACAATTAAGTTCCTAATACAACTAACAACAAATAAAACCCCTAACAACAACAACAACAAAAAAAGGGTGGGTGAGGGGAGGGAAAAAAAAGGAAGGAAAGAAAATCCAGAAATCTACTTAGAAAACTTCAAGGATCTGGAGAATGAAGTATAAGTGCTTTTATTTATTTTATATTATATTCATTATATGCTTCCTCAAATATTTATAGATAAAAATTTGATAGATATTTTCCCAAGAGCACAGAGAATAAGAAGTGATAGCAACGTGGAGAGGAGTGCAGGAACCCAGGCCTGGGATGCCTGAAGCAGTGACTTCCTGGTGTCCCTCCTCCCTTCCCTCCCAATCTTGTGCCTTTGCTGAGACTTAACCCCTCAATGCTTCCAAATACCCCTCCTTCTCATTTAGTTTAAAAACCTTTTCAAGTTGCTTGGGTGAATATATTGGTTTTTTTGTTTTGGGGGGTTTTCTTGAGACAGAGTCTCACTCTGTTGCCTGGGTTAGAGTGCTGTGGCATCAGCCTAGCTCACAGCAACCTCAAACCCCTGGGCTCAAGCGATCCTTCTGCCTCAGCCTCCCAAGTAGTTGGGACTACAGGCATGTGCCACCATGCCCAGCCTATCTATTTTTGGTAGAGATGGGGTCTTGCTCTTGCTCAGGCTGGTCTCGAACTCCTGAGCTCAAACGATCTGCCCGCCTCGGCCTCCCAGAGTGCTAGGATTATAGGCGTAAGCCACCACACCCAGCCTATATTTGGTTTTATTTTGGAGCAATTACCATGCTTGACAACATTTTGTTTTAAGGAAAGAATTTTTTGATTTGATGAAACAGGGAGTCACCAAGCTGTAGCTATGTAAAGGAATGAACAAAGAACTCAGGTCTAGGCAAAACAAAGGAAATAATACAATTATGTAGGCCCAACAATATGACTGGAATGGTTGAAGTCCAGCAAAGAAGGTTTCTTCAGGTTCTAAAAGTCTTGGCAGTCCTGGGAGCTCTGGAAAGTCGGAGGGCAGCTCGCCATAAATTCCAAAGCAGTGAAAATGAGCCAAGATGAGAAAGAGGAGTCCCAGCAAACACCACTGGTGAGCGTCAGCTCCATGGATAGGCTGTGAGACTGTTAACTGTAGCCAGACCCACTGGAGAACTCTCCCTGGGGCTAGGACCGAGAAGGAGATGGCATCACAGGTAGGTAGTGACAATAGTTTTAACTCACTTTGCTTGCAGATTTTTTGATCTCATTCTTACTGTGACTTTTTTTTTTTTGGATGCAAAAAGGATGAGCCCGTCTTCTCTCAAAATTATGAAACATATTTCGAGGTAGACTGGCACCATTGGTAACTTGATTTTTCAGTCATCAATACGTGGTACATTTGGAAGGAAGCAGTTACCTCTGAGCAGATGTTTCCAGAAAGGCGAATGAACATGAACAGAATTACTGATACCTTCAAGTGGACATGGTTTCAAGGAGCAGATATTAAATATTTTCTTCATAATACAGTAAGTGTGTGTGTGTGCTCACGTGTGCACTACATCATCTCTCTGGCTCTTTTTACACCACATTATTCTGCAAAAAGTGTTGAATTTTGCCACTCCAGCCTTCTTCCTGTAAATATTTAACAAATCTTTGCGAGTGGTACTGGCTGCTGAAATCTGGGGAAACATCTGCTCAGGAAACTGCTTCTTCGGATAGAGTGTGAGCCCAGAGTCAATCCAGTTTGAAATCATGAATATGAACAAGATGCGGATCTAATCTCACTGTAAATGTAGGCTAAAGAGATCCTTTTAATTTAGCTCTGTATCTTTATGGGACTTCAAAGACATCTCAAATGCAGGATTTCCAACCATCTCAGGTGTAAGTTGTACCACATATTCTGGGTCCTGTGACTTTTACAATCACTGGAATCAACTAAATAACACAACATTTTTCTTTTTTTGGAATGATTAGTTACTCTGTTATTACATTTTCCAACACAAAACTGTGTGTGCATCACTGTGCACAGTAGCCTTGAATAGGGTGTTTAGCCTCTATAGCTGCAGTCCCAACCCCCGGCCTCCACTGCTGGACTGTGGCCTGTTAGGGATGGGCCACATCGCCGCCTGAGCACTGCATCCCTGGAAACTTTCCCAACCCCCTCTGTAGAAAAATTGTCTTTCATGAAACTTAGGAACTGGGGGGCCACCACAGAGCAGGAGGTGAGCAGCAGGTGAGCTAGCGAAGCTTCATCTGTATTTATAGCCGCTCAACTCCCCATTGCTTGCATCACCGCCTGAGCTCCACCCTAACCCTCCCTCATGTCTTCCATGAAACCGGTCCCTCGTGCCAAAAAGGTTGGAGACCGCTGCTCTGTAGCATCCCCTAGAATAGAAAGGGTTGTCTTGGAGTCTCTCCACTTTCATATATATATATTCTTTTTTGCAGTCCTCCTATTTCTTTTCCTATTTTTTTCTTCCCCTGTAGTTCTGCCTGGTGTTTTTCTGCTACCCCTTAGCTTATACCAGTGTCACATAAGACTTGATTGCCCTTCCTTTTCTTGTCCCCACCAAAGGTTATCAGAACAGAGCTCCAGGGGCTGGGCATGGTGGCTCATGCCTGTAGTCCCAGCACTTTGGGAGGCCAATGCAGGAGGATTACTGGAGGCCAGCATTTCAAGATCAGCCTGGGCAATAGAGCAAAACCCCATAACTACAGAACAGAGCTCCAGTCCTTCAGAGTCTTATTCTCAGCAAGATAACATAATGTGTCTAAGCTACTTATGAAAATATTCTACTTATCTGTTAATGTTTTGAAAAGGGACAATACTTAACATCTGGGAATTACTCTAAACACTGGGGACTACAAGCATGGGGCAGGCAGTGGTGGAGATCATATTGGATGGGGAAGTCTTTCAATTTCCCTTACATCATATCAAGCAGACGAGGAATATTGGGCAGGACTTGCATAGGTGGTGTTCATCCTGGCCTTTCTTTTGAAAGAAGGCTTGAGAAGGGACCCTGGGACCTCACCAGTGATCGTGGGACCTCTTCTTCTATCAAAAGAAGTATGATGTAAATGAGTCCAGGTTGGATTAGGTAAGGAATGGGACTGAAAAGGAGATGTGTTCTTGAAATCAGCCAATCTCATAGCCTGGGGCAGGCATTTGTGGTCAGCTGAGTCACACTGCCTTAGGATTTGCCAGTTCAGTTTTCTGTTTCAACAATAAAAAGTCTTGCAAAACTGTTGGCATGTGAGACAGAGGTATCCAGAAAGTCTTGGCATCTTTTCCAGCAGCATAACGAGTCTTAGGGAAGAGACTTGTTAGAGCATGGTCCATGCACTCTACCACCAGAGAGAGGTCCATGTTCAAAAAGGATGTAGTAGTGACTTTCAGTTTACTGAGACCTATAAAAAGAGATAAAAGCACTTTTACTCTTTGAAAAAAAAAAAAGAAAGAAAGAAAAGCAGAGTGGGAGGCTAGGGTGCAAAGCTAAGAGTATATGTGAGGGAATTTATTTTGAATTTGCCATTATAATTGAGGACCATCATGATAGTTTTCTATCTATTTTTTTAGACCAGCTTGGGTGGTCAGCAGACTTTCTAGAGAGCTTGTTAACTCAGATTGCTGGCTTCCACCTCCAGAGTTTCTGACTCGGTAAGTGCGAGGTGGGGCCCTAAAATTTGCATTTCTAACCAGTTTCCAGATGCTGCTAATGCTGTTGGTCCAAACTTTGAGAAGTACTGCTTTAAAACAGTGAAAGATACTACACAAAGCCCCTGAGGATGCTGATCCTTGAAAGTTACAGGTTTTACTTCTAATTTGTTTTAGGGGATCACTGTGTTTGTAGAAAACGTGGATATGGATATGTGCTTATGCATGTGTGTGCATGTGTGGAAGTGAGGGTGCACTCATACACCATATGCCTCTACAGTTCTGTGAACAAAGACAGAATCATCCCCAAATGCCCTGACTCAGGAAGCTTGAAATATCTTGGTTCTCATGCAGATAAAGTGATTGAGTAATGAGCCAAGATACCTTTATTTTTTTTTTTAATTTTTTTTCTTCATAATCGGTAAGTACAGGTATGCCAAGATACCTTTAGAGAGGCAGATATTTTTCAAAGGATTGGTAATGGTTTAGGACCTCAGGTCCTTCCATAAATGCTGTTGGGAAAACTGCATTTCCACATGCAGAAGAACAAATTTGGACTTTTATCTCATACCATATATAAAAATCAACTCAAAATGGATTAAAGACTTAAATGTAAGACTTCAAAGTATAAAACTATTAGCAGAAAACAGAGAGGAAAAACTTCTTGGTATCAGTCTGGGCAATGAGTTTTTTTGGATATGACCCCCAAAAGCACAGGCGATAAAAGTCAAAATAGACAAATGGATTACATCAAACTAAAAAGCTTCTGTACAGCAAAGGAAACAGTTAAAAGAGTGAAGAGACAACCTACAGAATGGGAGAAAATATTTGCAAGCTATTATCTGATGAAGGGTTAATATCTAAAATATACAAGATACCCAAACAACTCAATAGCAAGAAAACAAATACCTGATTAAAAAATGGAAAAAGATATGAATAGACATTTCTCAAAAAAAGACATACAAATGACCAACAAGTATATGAAAAATGATGCTGAGCATCATTAATCATCAGGGAAACACAAATTGAAACCATAATGAGATATCACCTTACACCTGCTAGAATGGCTATTATCAAAAACACAAAAGATAACAAATGCTGACAAGGATGTAGAGTAAAGGAAACCCTTGCACACTGTGAGAATGTAAATTAGTACAGCTGTTGTGGAAAATAGTGTGGAGGTTCTCCCCAAAATTCAAAGTAGAACTAACATATGATTCTCATATATTCTTAAAAAGATACTGACTGGAGTTTTATCTTCATAAGGGAAAATCTGATTTTCGTTCTTTCTTTCGTTCTTTCTTGTAGCCCCACTAGCTACAAGTTGTTCAAAGAACCTAGTAAGTCTTCATGACTATTTTAGACTTCAGTCTGAGAACTGGAGGAAAGGTGACCTTAAATTTGTGATCTTCTTTAGAACTGTGAATTTGGTGGATCTCCAACTGTTGATTAGGAAAACCCTAATAAGAAGAACCAGTATAAAATTTGGCTTAGTGCCTTTTGGTATTTCTGAGACAGAATACCTGAACCAGGGACCAAGTCAAAAATAATTTGAGATGGAAGTTGGTAATATGTTCACAGGCATTTAAAAAGTATTAATGTCAATATCAAACATAGAAAGTTCTTTTAAATGAGGAATTTTGTTTCTGAAGTATTAAGTCTAAACGGTTAAGTTCAGCCTTAGAGCTGAAATAGAACCTTCAGAGTGAATGAGAATTAGGGTATTTTATGGCAATGGTTCTAAACCTACAGTAACATGTTAGCATTAAGATATTAGTCAAAGCAGACATTTTAGTTAAGATATATATATATATATATATATATATATATACAATATATATAATGTATATACGTGTGTGTGTGTAAGTGAGTATGTTTGGAGCATAGTGGTGAGTCAGTCATTTTAAAAACCTCCCCAGGTGGATCTGACTTAGCTGTTAGATCTACCTAGAAAACTCCTGACCTTGAACCTTGCCATAGTTGACTATCTTTTCAAGTCCATTGACAACAAGGCAGGATCATAGTTTGGAGGGACAGAGTGACACATAGTTAGGTGAGACCATGCTCAACTCACAATAGGAACTCAGTAAGTGTTTGAGGAACATCAAGTAAACTTTAATAGGGCCAGGAAGTTTGCAGTGGATGGAGAGCTCCGATACAGGAAGTTTGACCAAAGTCCTTAATGCTATGTTCACATTATAGTGTGTGGCCAAGATAAATGACAGTTAGGCTGCCTGGGTTCAAATTTAGCTCTTTAATTTGCTAGCTGTGCAATTTCAGGTAAGTTATTTCTCTATGCCTGTATTTCTTTAAAATGAAGATGATAATACTATCTACTTCATAGAGTTTAGTTGGGGATTTTAAATGAAAGAGTCCATTTTAAATGGAAAGCACTCGGAATGGTGATAAGTACCTAGCAAATGTTTACTATATGTTAGTCATCATTATGTAATGTTTGTTATTATTCTTCCATCACTGACTCAATCTCTTAATTTATGTTACCTCTCCTCTCCTCTCCCACTCCAAGGTTTCCTGCTCCAGAAAATTTCCACCCAAATAACTCCTCCCTGACCTTTAGGCCTTATTCAAACCTGATCTGTCCCAGTAAGGCTTCTTAACCAGCAATGCTTCTAGCACCACTTCTGGGCTGCTGGGTTACCTTGAAGTAAAGGATCAATTTTCTTGTGTGTTTCGCAGTCTCACCTGGTTATTTTTTGTTGTCGACTAGATTGTAAATTAGTCAAGCAACAGAGGCTGGATCATCTCTGTCTTTTTTCTTTTTCTTATTTTTTTAAGAGACAAGGTCCTCCTGCTCTGTTACCCAGGCTGCAGTACAGTGGCATGATTATAGCTCACTGCAGCTTCATACTCCTGGGCTCAAGTGATAGATCCTCCTGCCCCAGCCTTCCAAGTAGCTGGGACTATAGGCGTGTTCCACTATATCCAGCTAATTTTTTCTTATCTTTTTAGAGATGGAAATCTTGCTGTGTTGCCCAGGCTGGTCTTGAACTCCTAAACTTTAGCATTCCTCTCACTTTAGCCTCCCAAAGTGTTGAGATTACAGGTGTGAGCCACCACTCCTGGCTCCCTTTTTTAACCTCCATAGATTTTTGAACAATGCTGAGTGAGTAGCTGGTGCTTAACAAAAACAGGAGTTATGTGTGGAGATAAGGACTTTGGGCTCTAGAGTCAGCCTGCCTATGTTTGGGTCCTGGCATGACCAGGAAGATTCGCCTTGGGTAGCACATTTCAATTTCTGAGCCTCTGCTCACTACTCCAGCAATTTTTGAGGAGTAAATGATAAAATTCATAAGACACTTAGCATAGAACTTGGCAGTTAGTAAATGCTTAGTAAATGTTTATAAACACTCAGAGAAGCAAGAGATGACCCGAAATTAATAGGGAGCCCAGATCCATACTTAAGATCCCTATTGGTATATTACTCTGGGAACCTTGATTTTTCAGTTTTGTTTGAATCTCCTTTCTGCTACCCAGGACAATGAATCCCAGAGCACATTGTATCGGCCCAGAAACTCACTCTTTTCAATGTAGTCTTCTCCATATTGCTGTTTAATGTCTGGAGACAGATGCTTCCAAATGGCGAGTTTCTTTTCAGTTGACTTTACTGGATCTGACAATTCTGTTTTGAACAACCCTGGTTCGATGCATGAGACGTGAACACCAAAAGCTTTCATGTCCCGTCTGTGAAAAGAACCCACTGAAGATGTTTAATCCAGATTTGTTTAGGTTTGCTATTTGGATGACTATTTTCTCATAAATCTTTTCATGGAATCACAGAATTGGGAGCATTGGAAAGAAGTATCTTGCTCTAACCTCTCATTTTGCAGATGAGGAAACTGAAATTCACAGTGGTGAAGTGAGGGCTGGGTTAATGGCAGGGCAGAGAAGGAATCTGGGTGGACCCAGTCCTAGGCCAGTGTTCTTCTCCTCACGCCATCCTCTCATCACTGACTTGATGAGCATTCAGGTTAAGGGCAGGTTTCTTCTCAGTACCTAAAGTTCCTTATGGTGAAATGGACTTATGACTGGCCTGTATGGACAAGTTGACCCCATTCTAGCAATGTGAGGAGATTGCAGCACAGATGAGGGTTATGCTCAAGGACAGAACGTGACAATCCCAGATGTGACTAACCTGCTCCCTATGCTGCTGAGCAAGCTTTTTCATCATGTCACTGCAGAAAACCAAAAGCCTACTCATTTACTGGACATCAAGATGTTTTTGAGGAATCATGGTGCCCTTTCTTTAAAGCAAACTGATGAACAGATGCTCCTCGACTTCGGATGGGGTTACATCCTTATAAACCCATCAAAAGTTGAGCATATTGTAAGTCGAAAATGTACTTATTAATAATACATCTAACCTACTGAACATCATAGTGTTCAGAACATTGGCATTAGCCTTGAATGTGTTCAGAACGCTTCTATTAGCCTACAGTTGGGCCAAATCATCTGGCAACATAGCTCATCACAGAGTGATGTCATGGCTAACTGGGAGCTGTGGTTTGCTGCCGAGGCCCAGTAGCAAGAGAAAGCATCTTACCGCAAATCGCTAGCCCAGAAAAAGATCAAAATTCAAAATGACTCTACTGAATGTGTCTCACTTTCACACCATTGTAAAGTAAAAATATCCTGTAGGACCACTGTAAGTGAGGGACTATCCATACTGCAGATCAGTATGAATAATAATTGCCTAAATTTAATTTATATTTCTACCAGGAATATATAAGGAAGTAATTATTCATTTTATGGAAGTCTTCACCATAAGATTTTTTTAAAAGCTCTCTTAGTGAACTTAAAATATGATTTAATTTATCTTAGATTCTGGTTTCCAGCAACATAACTATTGCGTAGTTTGAAATACATTTTACTAAAAAGGCAAATTAGGTTGGCCTAGAAAGATTTCAAAAGGTATGCCACTTGCATTAAAATAAAAAAGATTATTTTACAACTTAATCATATTTTATTCACCTGTTGTCTGATCTCCTTTGGATCTTGGAAGTAGCAGTGTCAAGAGGGTATTTTGGATGACTTGTCTCCTCACCCACTCATGAAAATAATACACGATCTAGGGACCAGTGGCTTTAACCCCATCTAAGCTTACTAGGTAAGTAAAACCAGTGTGAAATCAATATGTTTGCTGGGCAAATACAGCTTTAAAGAACCCCAACCCTCTCTAAAACCAACTGCTGCCCCTAAACCTTCCTATATATAGAAATTCTGGAGCTGCCACTGGCTCTTGGTCTACATGCATAATACCTTTCCAATACTAGTTCCGTGATTCATAATGAAATAAACACTCTCGATTGATCAGGCATGATATAGCTGCATTGTACATCTCACAAAGCCTTCAGTTGAAATCTCTTTTAAAATTGAGCAAATGTCTAAATCTGTATACTAAAATTTTATTATGATACTACTGCTTGTAGAGTGGAACCAAAGGTCAGCCAAGGAGACTAACAGAGGTTCTCTGACCTTGTGTCTCAAAGCGTGATCTCTGGATCAGGGGCAGCACCTGGGAGCTTGTTAGAAATACAGTCTGAGGCTCCACCCCAGCCAGACCCACTCAATCAAAATCTGCATGTTAGCAAGATCCTCAGGTGATTCAAATGCATGTGCATGGTTTGAAAGCATTGTTCCCATATCATTGTGTTTATTTCCTAGGAAATAAATCAAACTTGGCAACCTGTTCAATCAAACTTGGCAATCTGTTCAAATGGCAAAACAGAGTTGTTCTATCTTTATCATCTCATCTTCAATAAAAGTTTTAAAAAGGCAAAAATGTAAAAAATCAAAAATTAAGGTAAACCTAGATCCAAGGCATAGATCATAAACTTTAACACATGCCTTCAACAAATACTAGTTGAAAAAGCAAATGGATGAAAGACTGTATCTAACACTTTCTTCTCTCTTGCCTAACGCAGCACCACTCAGCCGAATGTCTCCATTTGCATCTCTGGTCCCTTTCTCCACCCTTCTGCCTGCACCATATGCTGGGAGGCTGACCCACACTGACTGTACTCTGGCTTTCTGCCAAGTACAGAAGGTACAGTTGCTGGGAAGTGCCGGTGGGAGATCAGGAAGAGAGGGGAGGAAGTGGGGCTAGTTCTCCTCCTGTGGTGTCAACGCTGGTTATTTTACCCCTAAACTGAAGTGAACAGCTTCTGTGTCTCCAGGATCTGGAAACTGCCCTGTCTCCTCCTCCCTTCAGTCCTGTGGCTAGAAAGGCCTCTGCTGTCATTAGCACCTCGATTCTACATTATCCTTTGGGATTTCTTTCCTTAGACACCTCCCACATGTTTGTAAAGAGCCCTTTAAGCAAACTCTGTTTCCTTTACCCAATGTTAACATGCCATCATTTCCTACCATAACCTTGACTGATGGAACCCCTTGCAACATAAAGATTTTGAACTGATAGTGAGAAGTTCTGGTTCTAGGTAAGAAGGGTTAATCACACTCCACTCCCCAGCCCTGTGTCTCTCATTGAATGCAGCTGTAAAACCTGGACAGATTGCCTGGAGCAGCTATTGAATAACTGATACTGCTGTGTCTGCAGCCGACAGTAACACCAATGGAGAGACCTACCCTGATTTAGCCTCTTTATATGATTCCCTAACTATTTGCCACACTGAGCAGTTGAATATAAATTCACTACCACTATATCAGCAACATTCATTAATGCAAAAAATAAAAAAGAGTTAGATAGACTTGGGTTCAAATCTGAGCTCTATCACTTATAAGCTGGGTGACCTTCAGCAAGTTACTTAATCTCTCTTAGTTTCAGTGGTATCATCTATAAATTGGGAATGAAGTGCTAACTAGTGTCTAGTACATAAAGCATTCAATAAACATTGGCAGCTATTATTTTCTAACAAGTCAATTAATTTGCTTTACCTTAAACAGTCATTGAAGCCTTCCACTGCGTATTTGGATGGGATATATCCCCCACCAACGAATGCAAGCCGACCCCCGATGCTGGACACATTGATAACCCTCCCTCGAGCTTTTTTGACCAAGGGAAGCATATTTAATGTCACATTGATGAGGCCAAACAGGTTCACTTCAATAGGTTCTCTGTAGTCCTCCACTGTCAGCCAGTCTGTGGGGGCCAGCACCCCGAGAACACCAGCATTATTGATCAGGCCCCAGAGACCTAGGACAGAGAGGAAGGAATGGAGGCATGGTAAAAGGTGGTGCTTATTTGGCACCTTTGATGAACATACAGCCCCTGCTCAACAAAATGGTGCCTTTTCCTCCTTGTACTCATATTCCTACTTTGAAATTCTTTGCAGTTTTGGGAAGTATAGCAGAGAAAGTGGAAGGCTACATTTAAATAATTGAAGGTCTCACTGTTATTCTATTGCTGGTTCTAAATGTCAAATATTGATACTGTCTGAGTGAATCTTTCTACTTTTTAATTCCAGATGTAGAGTAAATTGTTCTATTTTTCCTACCTTGCTTGACAGGAAGACTAGAGAATACTTATGAAATTTTTTTTTTTTGAGACAGAGTCTCACTTTGTTGCCCAGGCTAGAGTGAGTGCCGTGGCATCAGCCTAGCTCACAGCAACCTCAATTGCCTGGGCTCAAGCAATCCTGCTGCCTCAGCCTCTGGAGTAGCTGGGACTACAGGCATGTGCCACCATGCCCGGCTAATTTTTTCTATATATATGTTAGTTGGCCAATTAATTTCTTTCTATTTTTAGTAGAGACAGGGTCTCACTCTTGCTCAGGCTGGTTTCCAACTCCTGACCTCGAGCAATCGCCTGCCTCGGCCTCCCAGAGTGCTAGGATTACAGGCGTGAGCCACCGCGCCCGGCCTTGAAATGTTCTATGTGGGCAAAGAGTAATATCAATCTACTTCACGTTTATTTTTGGTAAAAGAAAATTCATTCACTTGGCTTGTTTTATTATGGGAAGCATTTAATATTATTAAATGTGTTTGGAATTCAAGCATTAAAAATTATCTGGTGTCTTATCAAATCACTGCTTTTGAGCTTCAGAGTCTCAAATATATGTTGAAGATGTATTAAAGAAAAATCACATACATTTTTTTTTCTTTTGAGGACCCCAATATCTTGATCTATGAGGAATATTTCAAACTTCATTCAAAGCCAATAAAAATCTTCTAGTTCACAAGCAATCTGAACTAGCATTTGGATTTCAGCAGAATCTGTCGCAGAATGAGCGCCCAATGGCTCACGACTCTACCGTGACTCTCTAAGACACTTATTTATATTCAAATTCTCAGGCAGTATTCTACTTTGCCCATTGAAAATGTGTGAGCTCTAGAACAATTTTGTAGTTGGAAGTGGGTCCGAGGTAACCAGATGGCAATTTGTTCATTGCTTCCATATTCTCCTGTAAATTTTAGTCCCAAGATTTTTTTCTGTGTCTGCGACTAGCATAGCACTTCCTGAGAAAAGACTGGAGAAAGTCAATATTTTCATCTCAGCTTGAAATTCACCCACTGGGACTTAAGACTGACTATAGCTTGGGCTGTGTTTCTCATGCACACAAACAGCCTGCACTTGGAACTACCCAGAAGCTATCCTAAGATTAGACAAGCACACAGCTGGTATTTAGGAGACATTTTCTCGAAAGGTCATTTATGTAGCTTCAGTTATGTCTCTATCTGCTCGCCTCATCCTTCCCAATCCCATATCTCTCACCTTTTTCCCCAACGTGGTTCTTCACCCACTGGGCAGTCCTCTTGACATGATCTGCATCAGTTACATCCAGCAGCACGGTGTGAAGTCTCTCTGACGTTTCTGCCTTCAAAGCCCTTGATCCTGATTCGGTCAGACAGGCAGCAATTACACGAAATCCTTTTTTATCAAAAGTTTTAGCTGCCAACTTTCCAAAACCCGAGTCGCACCCGGTGATAAAGATGTACTTATCGGTGATGTCTGTAATCTTTAGTTGTCCTTTGTAATTCCACAGAAAGCCACAGAGGATTAGGAGGACTAACACCCAAAGGAGCATTCTTCTTTTTTTCCCTGTATGTGACAGGGACACTCCTTTCCTGTGCAATAAAAGAAGATGGTGTCCTGAGCGTTCAAAATTAGAAAGAAAACTCAAATTAGAACCCTCGAGGCGTTATAACCCAGGATTGATGAGTTCAAAATATTTTAATGCATTTGAGTGGATAAATAGAAAGTTAAAGAAACAATAACCCTTATTTAGTTGTTTGTTTGGAAGATGGCTATGGAAATGATTAACTGCTCCTCTTAAGAAATGCAAAAACTAACCAAGTAGTATTTGGAGAAATTAAATGTAAGACAGAGGAGAGTCACCGCAGAGCAGACAGGGTGACAGGGTCGTGGGGTTGACGTGAGCAGCTGAAGTTGTGTGCAGTGATGACATTACTTTTATGAGTAAATGCATCCATCTGAAAGGTAGACTCACATGGCAAAAATCTTACCTCTTGCTACTTCATGAAATTCAAGAGCAGAATAGGTTCAAAATCTATTAGAAAGAATAGTTCAACTGTAATTGATCTGTCAGACTCCCAATTATCTTCAGTCAAGAAAAGGAGAGCATTTTGATGTTGCCACTAAGAAAATATTCCCAACTTAGTTTCCATTTTCTTATTTTAAAGAAAGTGAGAATGAGAATGCAAATGTGGTAAAATATTAACACTTAATCTGGATTGTACTGTTCTTTTAGCCTTTTATTTCCAGGTGTTTTTTTTTTTTTCAGCATATTATGGGGGCACAAATGTTAAGGTTATGTATATTGCCCTTGCCCCGCTCTCCCCTCAAGTCAGAGCTTCAAGCGTGTCCATCCCCCAGTTGGTGCGCATCTGTGCACTGCACTCATTATGTATGTATATACCCAACCCCATTAACTTTTCAATACATTTGAAATTATGTCAGAATGAAAACTTAAAAAATTGGCAAGGGAAAATGAAGAATAAATAATTTTTTTTGAGAAAATGCTTTATTGGATTGCTTTGGGTTCCATGTACAAAATAGGTAAGAACTCCAGGATTTTGGAGTCTGGTAACGTTGGATACCAAGTCACCTGTCTTCTACTCTTTGGTAAGCTCACCTCCACAACCGCTAGAAAAAAACAAAAGCTTAAACCAAAGCAGCTGGATTCCCTCTTCCATCCCATCCTTTCTGTATCTCCCTCAATCTCCTCCTTCCCTAACCAAATCCATTTATTTCTTGTGACAAGCAAACAGAGAGGAGCTTTTTAATTGTTAAGAATGGGCTCCATTCGGGGAGGGGAAGAGGATGAAAAAAAAAAGAAAAAAAAGGGATAGGCTCAGTTGAAATGTGTTGTCCTCATTAGGCACAGCTCTGGCTGAGGGTCATTCAGGCCTGTAGGCTGAATCCTAGGGACTGCAAAACCCTGCAGGATTTTGCAAAGCCTGTCCTTACCCCAAATATTATTGTCCAAAAATGTTGGTTCTGGGCCGGGCATGGTGGCTCACGCCTGTAATCCTAGCACTTTGGGAGGCCGAGGCGGGCGGATTGCTCAAGGTCAGGAGTTCGAAACCAGCCTGAGTGAGACCCCGTCTCTACCAAAAATAGAAATAAATTAATTGACCAACTAAAATATATATATACAAAAAATTAGCCGGGCATGGTGGCGTATGCCTGTAGTCCCAGCTACTCGGGAGGCTGAGGCAGCAGGATTGCTTGAGCCCAGGCAATTGAGGTTGCTGTGAGCTAGGCTGACGCCACGGCACTCACTCTAGCCTGGGCAACAAAGTGAGACTCTGTCTCAAAAAAAAAAAAAAAAAAAAATGTTGGTTCTTCTTCAATTCCTAAGGTTTCACATTCCTCTAAATCACTGGACTAAGTAACAAAGCAACACATGTTTTTGACCTCTAGTGGCATTTTAACCAAGATACCACCTCTGAGCAGCAGCTTCTGGCCAGAGCCATTGAAAACATGACCTGTACACAGAGGCCGACTGATGGCCAATCGTTTCCTTGACACTGAGGGTAAATGAGTAACAGCCACTAACAGGGCTGCTTCAACCACACTCTACCAGCTGCGGTCACCTTCACGTGGCTCCCTGGTCCCAACAGTTCGGAGAATCAGGGCACTGACCTTAGCTGCTTGAGTTGTTTGCCTACCTGCTGTGTCTTCCAATTGATCTCACAACAAACTGCTTGACTCGAGGCAGTAGGGCAGTGGTTAGGAGCCCAGACCTCAGAAATAGTCAGATAGAGCTCCCATCCCATTTTTACTACCATCAGAGGGTCCTTGGTTAAATTACTTATCTTTTCTGAGCCTCCATTTTCCTACCTGTAACATAAAGAATAACATCTACATTGGACGGTACCTGGTAACATGAAGTGACTCCATGCCAGCTACATGCGAAGGACCTTGTTACCTTTATGGCAGGATCAATCACTTTCACTTTGTGAGGGGTCTGCTCTATGTATTGCTCTTATCTAGGCATGGGTTTCTCAACCTTAGTATTTGTAAAAAATTTTTCAGAATATTATGGGGATACAAACATTTTGGTTACATGAATTGCTTTTGTATAGTTTGAGTCAAAGTTCTAAGTGTGTCCATCACCCAGATAGTGTGCATGGTACCTGTTAGGTGTGAATCTACCCGTCCCCTTCTCACCCGTCCCATCAACTGTATTACTTTTGATATTTTGGGCCAGATAATCATTTGTTGTGGGGTCAGTTCTGTGCACTGTAGCATGTTTTAGCAGCATCCTTGGCCTCTACATGCCAGCCGTACCCCTCCCCAAGTTGTGACAACGAAATAAGTCTCCAGACATTGCCAAATATCCCCTGAAGGACAAAATCACTTCACTTGAGAACCACTGGTCTACAGCTTCCTTGTCTTGGTGAATCCAGAACTTCACAGCTTCCATAGCTTCTTCTCTGGAAATTTAGTCATTGGTTCCTTGGTAGAATCACATTGCTGAGAATTTATTTTTTTATGGCCTTAAGAAAAAAGATTTGTTCCTTAGAAAAATTATTTATATCCTGCTGCTGCAAGCATTAATTCCTATAATTTTTTTTTTTTTGAAACAGATTCTCGTTTTGTTGCCCAGGCTTGAGTGAGTGCCGTGGCGTCAGCCTAGCTCACAGCAACCTCAAACTCCTGGGCTGAAGCAATCCTGCTGCCTCAGTCTCCCAAGTAGCTGGGACTACAGGCATGCACCACCATGCCCGGCTAATTTTTTCTATATATATTAGTTGGCCAATTAATTTCTTTTTATTTATAGTAGAGACGGGGTCTTGATCTTCCTCAGGCTGTTTTCGAACTCCTGACCTCAAGCAATCAACCTGCCTCGGCCGCCCAGACTGCTAGGATTACAGGCGTGAGCCACTGCGCCTGGCCCCTATAATTTTTTTAAAAGGTGTTTTTGTCATCAGGAGGATAAGAGGCAGTGAACAAAGCCAAATTCATGTATGACACTATTGTGAATTTAGAAATGACCAAATTAGCACTCACAGCATTTATGAGGCCTGGATTCTGGCTGAGCCTTTTGAGTTTGGGCCACTACAAACTCTTCTGGGGGTGTCCTTCAGGTGGGTGGCCAACTGGCTCTTAGAAAATCCAGGATCCTTTGGATTCCTGGTTGACCAAGTCAGTTAGGGAATGGTGGTAACTGCTATGATTTGTTGAGTGCTTACCTAGTATCTATAAATATTTATCTTATTTAAACCTTACTGTAAAAGTATCTTCATTTTATAGATGATGAAAAAATTCAGAAACACAGTGTAATTGGCTGAAGATATAATTGTAGCGGTGATTCTGGGACTGATACCCAGCCCACTGTGGTTCCATCACTGCCATCTGCATTCCCACTCGACTCTGGGAGCCTGGGCCGTGCATACGCTTCTCTGCACCCCCAGGGCTTCCCTCACATGATACTGGCATTGAGCTGATGTTCACTAATTGTAGTGGCAGGAAAGAAGGAAGAGAGGAAGAGAATAAGGAAGTCTCCACTCTAGCTCCAGGCTTCTGTTCATAATTGCTTAGTCTTTGACACCTCTGACTCATTGGGGCAAAATTATAATAGTAATTATAATAATGTAATACTCATGCTTCCAATTTTGGTAACTTATAAAAAGTTTTAAGAAGTGTTCCTGTTAACACTTATCTCATTGGCTGGGTGTGGTGGCTTATGGATGGAATCCTAGCACTCTGGGAGGCCGAGGCAGGAGGACCACTGGAGGTCAGGAGTTCAAAATCAGCCTGAGCAAGAACAACACTCTGTCTCTACTAAAAATAGAAAAAGTTAGCCCTAGTAGCATGAGCCTGTAGCCTCAGCTACTCGGGAGACTGAGGCAGGATGATGGTGTGAGCACAGGAATTTGACGTTGCTGTGAGCTAGGCTGATGCCACTGCACTCTAGCCCAGTCAACAGAGCAAGACTCTTGTCTCAAAAATAATAATAATAATATTTACTTAATTGTCAAAATATTTTTGGTGCAGGGTGGGTATCATAACCAAGATCATTTACCAGATAGCTAGAACTAAAACTTTGATCTCCCAAACTGTGTAAAAAGAGAAGGAAAAACTGCAAAGAGATGAATACATCATCAGTGGATAGCAGGAATAAAAAACACTTTATAAAAAAATGTTCTACTATGCCACAAAGATTTTTAAAAAATCAAAAGAGGAGAACTAATTTTCTCTTTCTTCTGCCAGAATGCTTGATAGTAACTGCATCTGTGGGAAAATATTGCAACTTGGTGGCTATCCTTGCTCACTTCTGCTTTTTTTTTTAGAAAATTTACCCCAAATACTTATTTATTTATTTATTTATTTTCAGTATATACTTCTGCTTCCTTTAACTTTATCTTTCCGGGTTTCTTTTTTCTTTTCTTTTTTTTTTTTTTTTGTTTTTTCTTTTTCTTATTCTTCATGTGGTTTTTTTTTTTTTTTTTTTTTTTTTTTTTTGATTTTTCTCTTTTACGTAGGCAACATGAGAATATTTTTTTATTTTTTTATTTTTATTTTTTTATTTTCTTTCCGGGTTTCTTTTCCTAATAAAAATTTATTAAGTAAGAGTCTTTGATTTCACTTCTCTTATTCACCTTCCTCTGCTCTTTAAAAATACATGATGGCAGTTAAAAAGAAAAAGAACAGAAAATATCTCAATGTTATTGTAAGGTATGCTTTTTATAAGAGATGTAGAGTGCTTTCTAGAGAGTTCCTCCTAGCCCACTAGATTTTATTTCCTCATACGTTCATGCAGGGTTTCCCTTATAGAAAACAATACTAAAGCTAGTCAACCACACTGATAGGAGTTTGTAGAATCTTTATTTACTTCCAATCTGTTGCAATGGTGGTCTAAGTTGAACCAACAATTATGTTGTTTACCAAAATACATAAAATAGGGAGCATTGTGCAACAACTTGATAAAATATTCTCTTTTTGGAGTTCTCTCGCACAAACTTTCTTGATGCTGAGAGCAGCTGAACGTGTATGCCCTTTGTTCATTTAAATATTGTAAATCTGGTTAACTTACACAAAATTCTTTTTCATTTTTACCTCTTCCTTGAGATAAAAAAAATCTCTGTTTCTTTTTAACCTAATGTGGCCTTTCAGAGATTAGTGCTGCACTTTAAGGAAAATAAGCATTGGAATCTAATGATATAAACTAACTCATAGGACTGAAGAATTATGTTTCTGAAGAAAAAAGGTTCAAGCTGGCACTCAGAAATCTGATTTTTTTTAAAAAATGGAGCCAGAGAACCCTACATGAAATGTGCTTGCATTAAAGCAACAAATGTTCTTTTGAGAGTCTGATTAAATAATAACTATAATGATTATGATGCCGATGACGATATTATTGAGATGGTATTCGTCATGGGAGGGTGCATTGTCTCTGTCACCAGCCTGAAGAAGCTCCTCCACTGGTCGGTTAGCCACATTTCTCTTCAATCCTGCTTCCCAGAAGGAGGGAGGCAGCCCTTGGTAGCCAGTCTGGGATTTGCGTACTAGGACAGGGAGGCAGGGAGAAGCCATGTGTGCTTCCTCTGCGCATTCATTCAGCCACCCTTCCCTGCCCGGCAGCTCTCCTGCCCAGAGCAGGTAGACAGACCACCTTGTGCAGGGAAGACCTGCCGGATGTATATTTTGCATTTTCAGTTTTAAGGGTAAAAGCATCTCTGATTTTTATTTTGTCTTCCCTCAAAACTTTAAACCATAATTCACCATACCATTCATAATTATGTTTCCTGACAGTACTTGCAGGGTAAGAATTATTGGTAAAGCCATAGTTACTTTATATATGGTCACTGAATAAAAACTGCTAGCCAGAAAAGATTCTATGTTGTATAGGATTGTAGCTTGTAATCACAAGGCTTTAAGGAAAGCTTAGAACAGAGAGAGAATGTATGCATAGATGTCAAAAGTATGTTCAAAACTTTAGTATATTTCTTTCAGCCATAGTTGTCTGTGAGCAGGAGAAAAGGTTTGAGCTTTTAAACACTGTCCCTTAAGAAAGTAACATTTGTTATAAGGGCTTTAGAACCTATTTCTATTTCCCCCATTTGAAATGTATGAAGTAGTGATTTTTTTCCCTTTCCATTGAGATTTGTTCTAAAATTTGAGCACCCCTTTTAAATCTTAAAAAATGCAGCCGGGCGTGGTGGCTCACGCCTTTAATCCTAACTCCGGGAGGCCTAGGTGGGAGGATCACTTGAGCTCAGGAGCATGAGACCAGCCTGAGCAAGATCAAGATCCGTCTCTACTAAAAATAGAAAGAAATTAACTAGGCAACTAAAAATAGAAAAAAATTAGTGGAGTTTGGTGGTGCACGCCTGTAGTCCCAGCTACTAAGGAGACTGAGGCAGGAGGATTGCTTGAGCCCAGAAGTTTGAGGTTGCTGTGAGCTAGGCTGATGCTAGGGCACTCTAGCCTGGGCAACAGACAGAGCAAGACTCTGTCTTAAAAAAAAAAAAAAAAATTAAAAAACGCAATGCAAAGATAACATTTAACTTTCATTTTAAGCAGTATCTAGCGAAGGATATTTTTAGAGCACCTAATGTATGCCAAGAGATACTAAGATAAACAAAACATAATCCCCCCCTCGGGCTAATAACGTAGCAGGACATTTCAGAGCCATTTGTACATTTTTAATTTAAAAACGTACTTTCTTTAAACTTTGCCCCCACCTTTGAAAAATCAGGTCATCAAGGGAGAGAACCATACCACCATTTGAAATACCAAACCAGTGGACCATAGAATGGGGAGTAAATATCTGAAGCGTGTTTTTGCTGTCACCCCAGGATCCAGGGATCAAACATACAGGGAGGAGTTTCCCTGCTTCCTTATGACCTACAGAGCTTTTTCCTCCCCAGCTGAGTGTGTGCAAGTTCACATGAACTGACATCTGATGGCACTGGTAAAGCAGGTAGACAAACAGATCAGACCTGCGGCTGGTTGCAAATCTGTTGCTCCAGTAAGAAACTCATCTAGGATTCCTGTGCTTTTTGGAGCACTTCCCTCTCCAGTTTCCAGTTAATCATAACATTCACAGATAGTGTCAAATAGACCCTGAGAGAATAACAAGATGTAAGTTTAATTGCGACTCTAGGGAGCTAAGGGACATTCAAAGGGAGACCTGGAGGAATTTAAGGTAAGATCCCATGTCACACTGAGATTTCTATGGCGAGATGGACAGGAAGGCTCCCATCACTATTTTCTAATATATTACATTTTAAAAAAAATCACCAATTGACCACAGCTTGAAAGACAGCTTGATTCCTTCTGTAAGAGTGAGGAAAATCAAAGAAATTTTAGATTGACCTGATACATGAAAGAATAAAAGACAAAGCTCAGTCATCAGTTACCTTATGAAAGACGAGCAGGACCCAGAAGCTGCTGGTGGGCTTGCACAGCCAATGGCGACCTTCCCGCTGTGCACAGAGGAAGGAAGTGTTGTGCCACCCTGGCCACGCCGAGCCTCTCGCAGGCAGGTGCTTGGGCTTCCGCGGAGCTCTGAGCACTACATGTGTGAGGAGTCCTCAGCTGCTCTACTTGCCCTGTGAGTCACACCCTCCGTAAAACGCAGTGATGACTAAGTCTGTCTTCAGTGGGTGAAAGCAAAGCCAAGAGGCTGGAGGAATCAGCAGCATCTTTAGTAAATTAAGTTTAGCAACTTTTAGAAAGAACTTAAAAAATAGTTGTTGACATTTTTTTTTTTTTTTTGAGACAGAATCTCACTTTGTTGCCCAGGCTAGAGTGTCGTGGTGTCAACCTAGCTCACAGCAATCTCAGACTCCTGGGCTCAAGCAATTCTACTGCCTCATCCTCCCGAGTAGCTGGGACTACAGGCATGTGCCACCATGCCTGGCTAATTTTTTCTATATACTTTTAGTTGGCCAATTAATTTCTTTCTATTTTTAGTAGAGACGGGGTCTCGCTCTTGCTCAGGTTGCTTTCGAACTCCTGACCTTGAGCGATCCTCCCACCTTGGCCTCCCTGAGTGCTAGGATTACAGGTGTGAGCCACCGTGCCCGGCCCAGTGACATTCATTTTACTGTGAGTACGATCTCTTGACCAAGTTCAGCAGCTGAAATAATGTAACATGGAAGCATTTTGTAAACTGCCTGCTGCATTGTTTTAATAATTTAATTTTCAGATGATGATTATTGTTCATGATCTCTGCTTTTTTTTCTTCCTGTTGACCTGCCTTTATTTATTTAGTACTCCTTCCCTTCTAAGGGAATAAGTAGGAGAAATCAGTCTCTGAGATTCATTTTACCATTTATTTAAGATTGTTGAGGAAGGAGATCAAAACAGTTTAATGAAATGAGGTTTTGGAATTATTTATAGGTCTTAATTTGTGTTTTAAGGTGTGACAAGGAGAGCTTACTGAAGTGGCCTGTGGAACTGAGATCGCTGAGAATAGGAAAGGGTGCCTCCTCCCCTCCCAGAGTTGGTCTGTTTCAGCGTTTGTCACAGCTGACCTTGCCTATCCTGGGACTGCAATGGAAAGTACTGAGGCTGCAGGTGAGGGGGGAAGGGACGGTGCCAAAGTCCCCTCTCCAGTCTGCCATGACCCCGTTTAGTCACACAGGAAGATACAAACTCCATGCCACTGATTTTTTTATTGTCATTTTCTTGTATACCAGTTTATTGCCATACTCCTTGAATTTCCCAGACATTGAGTTCCTTCTTTCAAAACTGCAGTTACTATGGTTCAGGTGGTGTGAGCATATGAATGAACACACCTGTCTAGACAGAGTCCAGACACTGCTATCACCCTTTGAATTAAATGCAGGATACTTTTTCTCCAAAGGAATAAAAAAACCAAGACTGAAATTTACTCAGGTAAACATTTAGATGGCCGGGCGCGGTGGCTCACGCCTGTAATCCTAGCACTCTGGGAGGCCGAGGCAGGCAGATTGCTCAAGGTCAGGAGTTTGAAAACAGCCTGAGCAAAAGCGAGACCCCTGTCTCTACTATAAATAAAAAGAAATTAATTGGCCAACTAATATATATAAAAAAACATTAGCCAGGCATGGTGGCGCATGCCTGTAGTCCCAGCTACTTGGGAGGCTGAGGCAGTAAGATTGCTTGAGCCCAGGAGTTTGAGGTTGCTGTGAGCTAGGCTGACTCCATGGCACTCACTCTAGCCTGGGCAAGAAAGTGAGACTCTGTCTCAAAAAAAAAAAAAAAAAAAAAAAAAAATCAGAGGTTTAGACTGAGTTGCATATTGGGAATTAGAGTTCTTGCTGTGTGTCTAGTGTGTCTCTCTGTTCCAGTGGGCCCAACTCAAGGGTTCAGTGTCAGTATATTGGCACCAGGATTAGAATGCTCCTTCCCATCATCAAATGGTCCCATTTAGGTGATCAGTTAATGAAATCGTTTGTTAGCAGCTTCTTATCCAGACCATAACCATATCCACATTCAATTTAACATCTTGTCTTTCATTCCACCTCTTTAATATGCAACCTTTAAAAGTGTTACTTTGTTCAGAATTCTCCCTACATTGAACTTCTGGTCATCAAAGGTGACATAAAAAAAAACAAAAACAAATTCAGAACCAAATTGCCTTTTGATTTTTTTCCTAGTTCCTTTTTACAACAAAAGGTTGCACTGTGAATTTTATTTTAATGTTGATAAGTAGCCGATAAGTATATAGAGGTAAGGCTAGATACTACCATAGACAAAATAGTTAAGATATGGATTTCCTTCTTTTTCTTCTAAATCCATATGCTCCCCTTATTTCTGCCCAAGAGTGTCCTCTCCACCCTTTTCCAAACACCAAAACCAAAACTACCCACACCCAAAGCTGTCTCAGACAACATGCATCAGGCTTCTTGTAACTGCACTGTTCTGGGCATGGTCTAAGTCACAGATAATTCTAAAATGGGACTCAAATAGAGGAAGGCACTTACCCCAGTCCTGCAGGCTGCGATGGATCCAGCTCCTGGAGTATGTCTGATGTCACCCTGGTAAGGCCGGCCAGGTGGGTGAGGCCGGTTATGGAGCAAGCATGGGGACCTCTTTCTTCCTGTCATAATCATAAGATTCCCTCTCCCAGGTTACTCTCAGTGGAGGGTGTTTCCCTGAATGACCATGAATTAGTATAATGACTTCATGTTTTAAAAAGTGTATTTTGCATTTTCTTTCCCTTCCTTTTGTCAACAGACAGTTCTCTAATTTCCTCTATGGACAATCTGTCCCCTTGTCCCCTTTTTACACCAACAATGCCTTTGACATGCAAGCAGCTTCTGTGTAGCTAGGCTTGGTCAAAACTAGGAGCTTAGTTTCTCATTTGGCTTTTCATGACTCTCTCAATTGTAAGATGAAGCTGGGCTAATCTTTTGTTTCCCTACACTGTAAGATCCTTAGGTATACTAATAACTAGCGCCTCAGTCATGGGAACCTTGGGTTGATTCTTTGAAGAAAGATTTTTCTTATTTGCAGAACACACATGCTTTCAACTTACTCAAACAGAAGGTCCTGTGTTGGAAAATGGGGTGAGGAGTATTATGTTGGGAGTTATTGTTCTGGAAGGGTACATAGAACAAAGAGAGAAGATGGGTGAGAAGAGAGGCAACAAATGACCAGAAACACTGGGGATTCCTGGCAACATGGACACGTTCGAGAAAGAAGGGTGGAGGCTTAGAAAGAAAAGGTGACTCCCACACAGGGAGGGAGGTGGATACTCCTTTTGGTATAACCATCTCATGCAGAGCATTAAGACAAACAATTTCCCTGGCTTAAGCATGATTCTCTTGCTAAGTTTCCTGGTTCCTTTCAATCCCAGACAGCTTCTTTTTCCCAGAATCTTAACTAAGATGAGTAACATATCAAATGAAATTAAGAGCAGATGCCAGATACATGTGATTGTGTAACATGCAAGTACTAGACAGAAAGGACTCGCTGGGATCCATGGTGGGGAAGAGTTGGAGGTAACTCTCAGCAAGCAGAGAGTGTTGTCTGCAGACCCTGTTTTGAGGTATTCTCAACTGCTGCTTCTGCGCCAGGCCGATTTGACTGAAGAGATATGAAGATGAACGGATAGGGCTTTTCCTAATGAGGAATCATTCGCCATTAGTTCATTGTTTGCTCATTAAGGAAACTCAGAGAGCTTCTCCCTCTCCTTAAATAACCCTTGCTCCTTGCTGGCTCCTCCAGACTGTTTCAGATTGTGGGGGAAGGGTGATCTCATCCTTTGCTGATGGTTGTGTAAATTGCTACAGCATCTTTGGAAAGCTAGCCAGAAACATCTATTGAAGTAAAAAATACATACTACTTTTGACCCAGAAATTCCACTCTTAGGAATCTCTCTTATAAACATAAAAGCCAGCGTACAAGTATGTGTAAACAGGATGTGGCAGAAAGAACTGGAAGCAAAGCAAGTGCCCACTAGTGGTGGGGTAGCTGAGTAAATTGTGGCACACGTGCACAATGGAGTATTATTTGCAGTCATTAAACAAAACAAATGAGAGCTCTACTACTTGACTTGGAAGGATTTCCATGACTTCATTTCTGTGAAGCAAACAGGGAATCTCTGTGTGTGCATGTGTAAAGATATTTAAGTGAGCGTGGAGAAAAATGTGGAGGGATATGCACAGTAATGTTAATACGGGTAACTTGGAAGTAGGAGGTGTAGGCAAAAGAAAGGAAAGGATGAGGCAAGAGAAAAAGGAAAAGATATTTTAAAAAGACTGCATAGAAAATGATAGAATCCAACACAATGCCAGCAAGGAAAAAGTCCTGTTTTCTCCTTGCAAAAAACAAAACAAAAATAAATCCAACACAAAAAACTCTGAATCTAACAGAGCCTTTAAATCCAAGTGCCAATTTATAGGACATGCAGAAATAAATAACAGAGATAAACAAGATAAACTATACTTCTGGGAGTGTAATCAGCAAACCAATGGGGGAATCTAAAGGACAAACAACTTGATGTATTCAACAAAAATAAATCACACACAAAATGGTGAGGGAATCTACTGATTAAAGAAGACAAAAAATATAATGGCCAATTGCAATCAGTGGACCTTGTATGGATCCTGATGCGAAGGAACAAGCTTTAAAACAACAACAAATCCATTTATGACAATTCTTATGAGACAATTTTAAATTTAAATAGTGGATATTTGATATTAAGTAATTATTATCAATTTTTCAGATGTGATGATAGTATGATGGTATTTAAAAAGAGCCCTTATCTTTTAGGTCAATTAGTTACCTGTTTAACCTAAATAGTAACGAATGAAATATATGATGTCTAGGAATTGTTTCAAAATAGGAATGGATGTGGGTGTGGACAGGGCAGGAGGAGCCGTGGGTCGAGGGTGGGGCTGGTGATGGGTACATGGCTGTTTATGATCCTGTTCTGTCCACTTTTATGTATGTTTTCAATATTATATTATACAAAGTTTAAAACATGATGATATGACTTTATTATTTATAGAAAATGTTTTATAAATATGCATGTATTTTTAGAAGAAATTAAGTAAATTAAAAAGAAAGACTGATTTTGATATATTTTTAAAATTAACCTTCTCCTGAATTAAAGTTTGAAACTGAATTAAAGCATTATAGGGGAGGAGGGGGACACATTGAGATTAACCTCAGGTCCCACACCTGTGCCTGTCTTATTAAGGCACCTGTGAATGTCTTATTAAGAATAGGCTACCCACTCAATGGAAGGTATAGTTTTGCTGTCAGCTTCTTACACTTCAAAGTATCCATTCCAATTTTCCCTGCTCCTTTGCCATCTGGTATTAAAAAAACGAGATGCCTCCTTACTATTTTGTAAAATGCATCAAATACTTTCCTATGGTTATGGAGCTGAGCCTGTATTTGCAAGGCAGCACCCCCACCCAAATGTCAATTCTATCGTGTTTGGATATTCAGCCACAAAACCAATTGGGCCCCACAGAGATCTTATGCAAAACACTTTGCCAGGTGTTATTGGAAAGACAAACACTAGCTTGGCCTTCAATGAGTTTGCAATGTCTCCAACAGTTGCTGCTTTTAAACCCAAATATCTTTCCTTGCTTAAATACAATTAAGTAAACTTGACTTTATGATGGTTGTTTACTTTATCATAAAATGTGAATTATTATATTAGTTTGAAAGCAAATTGCCCAGGAACTAATTTGAGTGCAAAACATCTGATGAGGTTCAGGACATGCTACCCCCAAATACAAAGTTTAGCATTTGAGAAAACAGCAGAAGCAGAATGGTCACTTTCACCTTCCCCTTGCTATTTCTCCCAGGAAACTTGCCATAAAATGTAGCTGAACTTCTTCCCCTTAGGTAGGTCACAAAACCCCCATTCCAGAGTACTCTCCTTATACCTGGAGGAAAAGAATGTCCTTGTCTCTGAAGCCACAGGGACAGAGGAGAATTTGAACAAACAGGCCTTGCTAAGTCCCCCCTAGTTTATTACTGTTAGAGAATAGCCCCTTTGTCCAATCTCACTTCTATACACCTGTTCACTCTTCATCAAACCTAAAAATAAACAGGGTCTTGGGGGCTTCATTTCTAAAGGCTCTCATATTACATAAAACATACATTAAATAAATTTGCATACCTTTTTCTTGTTAATCTGTCTTTTGTTATAGGGGACTCAGCCACGAACCTTGTGATGGGTAAGAAGTGAAATCTTGGGCGGGAGCAGTGACTCACGCCTATAATCCTATCACTCTGGGAGGCCGAGGCAGGCAGATCACTCAAGGTCAGGAGTTTGAAACCAGCAAGAGCAAGAGCAAAACCCTGTCCCTACTATAAATAGAAAGAAATTAATTGGCCAACCAAAAATATATATAAAAAAAATTAGCCAGGCATGGTGGTGCATGCCCGTAGTCCCAGCTACTCAGGAGGCTGAGGCAGGAGGATCGCTGAGCCCAGGAGTTTGAGGTTTCTGTAAAGTAGGCTGATGCCATGGCACTCTAGCCCAGGCAACAGAGTGAGACTCTATCTTAAAAAAAACAAAAAAATAAGAAGAAGTGAAATCTTTCCTCGCTTGCACACCACATTCTGGGAATGGCAATGTTCTTGATGAAATCTACCAAAAATAAAGGACATATTGTTATAACTACCCTGTTGAAGTTGGTGGGCTGTAGAAAATGGCCCATGGTTAAGCAGATCTGGCCTAGTGCAGGTTAACTTCCCAACTATCAGTAGCACTCCATGTGATAGCAAGGCGTTTGTTAAGTAACTGTCCCACATGAACTTTGTACTTCATCTTCCCAGTATACCAGGGGCACTTCCTGGCTGGCAGTTTCTCCATGCAGGGGTGGAGTGTTACTGTTTTCCAACTCCTCTCTGAACTGGGAGATCCTCTTTCCTTTGCTGAATCAGGGCTGCAGCACTGTGGTTTCTGCTCAGTCCATATGTATGGGGCTTGTTCAACTTTTAAACAAAATCCCTAGAGCCAATAATTCCAAGAAATATTTTTTGCTGTTCTTTTTAATTAGTTTTGTTATTAAAAGTCATTTAGTTTCATCAAAGAAGAAAGGGAAAAATAGAAGAAAATTTAATCCTCATTTAACAAACCAGATTCGTTAATACTAATAATCTTAATTTTGTTTGCCAAGCACTACTCTACAAGCATCATTTTATTTAATCTGCACCACAATCCTGTGCCGTTGTTTCTGCTCTCACTTACAGTTGAAAAAACACACTCAGAGGGATTAGGTAATGAGTTAAACTTACCTAGTTATTCAGACCCAGGCCTATCTTATTTCAGAGTCCATATTATTATACTCTTAATAACTATTTCAATTTAGAGTATATCCATTTATTCTTTTTTCCCCTCTACAATATATGTTTGTGTGTCTACATACATTTTTTAATAAAAATATTGTATGTATTATAGGCTGCTTTCTAGAAAAATTACCACAAGCTTATCCCACTTTCTGATATCAATAAATATCCTTTTATTCAGTAATTTTAAAAAATGGTTGTTATATTCCATCATATGAGCTTGCT